GTGTGTGTGTGTGTGTGTGTGTGTGTGTGTGTGTGTGTGGTGGGCACAGGAGGAGCAGCTGGTAGAGAATGAGGGAGACTGTTTTCCACCGGGAGCATGAATAGATGAAGAGACTCCACAAACAGAGGAGGCCTTGTTCTGAGTCTCATTTAGAGGAGGGGGTGGAGGTCTGAATATGCCTGCTGAGGGATCGACAGGCTTCTTTCAGCAACAGACATCCTCTTGATACCCCCCCCCCTTCATCACTCTCTATTAATGTACTGCCCAGTTGTCATGGCTGCATTGTGGCAGAAAAATGACAGTTGGGTGGGGGGGCAAAGGCATTAAATTCCTTGTGATAGTTTGTAGGTGACCCAAATATTTTTTTAACGGCTACACTGTAAGAAGTTTCAAGTCAGTTAAACTTGCAAATGAAAGTCCACCTGCTGCCTTAAAAACACGTTAACTCAACTTGAGGAATATTGTTGTTTCAACTCAGAAGTTAAAGTTTAAAAAGTTGATTGCACTACGTTGTTTTTGTTGTGCCAACATAGTTTTTTAAGTTGTCAAAGTTGATTTAACTGTTAATCACTAGTTGTTTTAACTTAAGTTGAAACAATTAAAAATTAAACATCAACATGATAAACCTTCCTTAGCTAGTTGAACAAACACATTTCTGTGTTAATGTAACTCACTGTTTTGAGTTAAAATGTCGTGACTTCACATTTTAAGTTAAACAATTTAAAATCCAAATTTGTTTCAACTTACATGATAGATGGTGTTGAAAAGGTTAACTGACACCACAAGGTGTCAATTCATCATATATTTGAGAGTGTAAATTTAACACTCAGAGTTAATATCAAAATACTCAGTAGTTAGTAGAGAAGTATAACGGAGTCACCCTTCACACACCAGGACATGCCTCTCACTCGTGTCAATTTTTGTCCAATAACATAAACTTAAAGTTGAACAACTTGATAAAACTGAACAAGAAAACTAACCAGAACAACTCATTTTTACTCTCATGAACGTCTTTAACAGTCATAAACATGCAAACACATCATTTCTTTATGATTTCTCAGCAAGGAATGCTGAGTAATCATATAAATTCCCAAATAGTCAACACAATGAATAACTTTAAGTTTTACTTTCCTGCCTTTTTCCCYYYYCWTTTTTTTCAACAGGTGACTTATAAACTCAAGTTCAGTTAACACTTGCAAATCTGWCAAATTTCTCAAATAGTTAACACAAAGGATAACTATAAGTTTTATATTTTAAGACTCATAAAGTTGAGTTAAAAATCCAAAACTTGTCAGAGCTCTTTGTGTTTTCATACAAATGCCCCCCGTCCCGTCCCCTCACATCCACACACGCACACACACTGTCCACGCACAACTACGCACATACACTTGCTGCTAGCTAATGTCTCTATAGGTTTGCCGACACCACGGAGAGAATGTGTCGAACCTGTAGGTACACGCCACCCGGATCGTAGCCAGCTGCTAGTGTGTGAAGCAGGAGCAGCGGCACCTGCTCGCGGCTCAGATCCGAGAAGTGGAGATAAACCCGGTGAGAGTCGGTTTCCCTGCAGGAATGTAGGCCGTGTGCTCCCCACTGGCTCCCATGACAGACCTCCAACCACCTCGTATAATCACGTCTTAATCAGCCTCACGATTGCTCTGTGACCTCATTTTTTAATTTATTTTTTAGTTTTGTTTGGGGAGGGGAACCACTAATTTTAATTTTAGATTTGAACTCTGATGTGGTATTTTAAGATGAAAAGGAGAAGGTGGGAAAGCGGTTTATCATACCTCGTCTCCATTATTTATTTGATTTTTTTTCTTCTGGGTCCAGATTGAATAAATGCACATATTTTAAATAAAGTGCCCGAGATTACAGAACTTTAGTCGTTAAACTAATGGCAGTCTTATGGGGCATACATTAACACACAAACATCTACATGTGTTATATTGATGGCGTGTGGACAGAATGCTAATATTTGTTTTCGTTTCATCAGTTCTACCTTCAGGCCAGGCTATCGTGGCGAGGAGCTCGGTTAGTGCGCCCACTAGTCCAGTTCCTACTGGTGATACTAGCTATCTACACCGGCCTGAGCCGTATCTCTGACTACCGTCACCACCCCACCGACGTCCTCACTGGCTTCATCCAAGGGGGGCTCACTGCATACTGGGTGGTATGTGCAAAATTTTATAAATGCTTGTAAATAACAGTTATCTTTGTCTTTATAGGATATGTTGACTTATACAATAGGCTCTTTCTCTCGTTTTTCTGCAGTCTGCTCACGCTTGGTGTTTATAAACAGCGAATGACTGACAGCATGTGTGGTCTGTGTATACTTCCTGACAAGCTTTGTGTCTGTGCCTGCAGGCTTTTTTCATCTCCTCCATGTTTAAGCCCTGCGCCCGTCCAGAACTGTCTCCCACGAGCACGTCCCTGGAGAGTCCGCTGTCCAGTCAGCAAACCGTCTGCTAGCGGGCGCGAGCAATCATTTCACAAATCAGAAGAGAAGAAAAGTAAAGATGGACGGCAATCCAACGGGAGGAAAAGCACAGGAACTCCAGTAGAGTATAAGAAAGGGAATCGTTCTGAGAGAAGGATTTGATAGAAGAGTACAATCTAACGAATGCTTACACATTCTGGCACACTGATGCTGCCCCACGTTTATTTAATGTATTCATTGGGGATGTCTCAATCAAGATTTTTCTTATAGCTTCAACAGCAACCCTGCCGCAAACAACTATTTTCTTTTTTTTTCTTTTCTTTTTTTGTTTAACTGAACAGCCTGGGACATGCCTAATTTTAATGCAGGTGAAATTCAGAGAGCACATATAGAAACATGCCCAGGAAAAGAACACAGCGTATTGTTTCATATAGTATATACACACACATATATAAATATATTTTTATGTGAACTTAAAAGAACAACAATGCTACTTTCAAGATGATTTTTTTATAAGCTGCTAATGTTGAAAGTTTCCTCCTGGCGTGGAAGCATCCGGTTTAGATTTCAGAGCACATCGTTGGGTTTTGGTGTTCAATGAGATAAAAGCCAGCCTTCTCTTTTTTTTTTACCTCCCCGATCAGTTTGGAAAGCAGCAACCAGCAGCTGTGAACAAATCCCAGCTGTAAGGAAATCAACAGAATAAGCGCTTGCTTCAACTTTTAACAATCTTTACCTCCAGAGCCTCTGTTCTAATCAGACTGCCCTGCATTACCGTTGACTATGACCTGTGTGTAAGCAGAAAAAAAGTCAGTATTCATGCTGTAAAACAATGTTATCATTTTTCTTTTAAATAACTGAGGTAGGGAGTGGAAAGAATCTAACCCTTCTTCCACTCTTCCATTTTATTTTTTTCTGTACTAACCACTTTTCTCAGAGGTGGAGGTTTGACTGAATTTTTGTAACTTCTGACTTTTGCCCCTGGCCTCAAATCTCTGAGCTGCACCTTGATTTATGCCACTAAGGCAGGAGACGTTTGACTGCAACCCAGCTGCCCTCCTGTGCATCGTAATTAATAGCACTTGAACGTAGATAATGGAACTTTCTAATTTTAATCAATTTTATATATTTTATCACGTTGAAATAATCAGTGTTTTATTTTCTGTTAATTTCAGACTCATACTTTGTATTTTTTGTGAAAGTTTTTTTTTCAAACTGTATGTAAATAGTTATATGAACCACACAGAATTTAAAAGTATTAGTTCAGACTATTGGACAGATTTGTTTCATGTTTGTGTTAGTGTGTTTGCAGGTGCAAAAATACACTTTTGTACCTGTTGTAACAACTAGACTGAGCCACAAATATTATCAGAAAGCTATATTTTTTTTGTGTTCCAGTAATTATTTGTTTGTTTTGTCTGTGAATGCCACAAAGGCAGAAATAACCACTGTACTCAAACAACCAAACCATTAAAGTGAATGTTAAATATTTCAGACTTCTTTATTAGTCTTTCATTTTCACTTACAGCCATCTGTGACGCACAGATTAGTTTCTCATATCCGCATCTGTTAATTAGCAACGAGGTGAAAAGAAACCATCATAAGGCAGAACTTAAAAACTAAATCACAACTACAGAAACACAGGATAAAGTTGAAAACAAATTAAAAAACATAGAAATTTCAATAAAACAGGAAACATTTCTCAGTAGAAAAAATACTTGGCTGGTATAAACACTAAGAATTAGTTTTACAGAAATAAGGCTGCTTCATGAACCACATTACATATAATGTTACATACAACTCAAATGAACTGAAATTTTTTTAAACTAAACAACAACTTTATAAGAGATGTTTCATGAAATACTGACACGTTTTTAAAGCCCTCTATTTTTATTTAAACTTCTGTTTTTAGTGAATTTATGCAGTTAAGTGCTGTTTTTTCCCCTCTAAAATAGTTGTGTGTGTGTGGACATGTTTATGCTGTATCAAGGGGATTATTTTCCAGAAAAACACAGCCTMATGATTGAAAAAAATGCATGAAGTCAATGCAAAGTCCCCWCAAGGATATAAAAATCAACTTGTGYGGGTGTGTTTTCAATTTTCAAGAGTTTTATGCTTTATTTGACAGYCTTGTGATTGTCTTTTTGTATACAGAAGTTTGTAATGTTTTTTCACAAACACTTAAGCAGGTAGAAAATATCATTTCCTGATACCAAACAGACAGTTTGAGGTGCTGAATGATTTATATATTCTTTAACTGAAACAAAAACTCCCAAACTGGCACGATAAGTTGTTTGAACGTGTGTTGTGTTGTGGAGGCTTGTACTCCAACATTTGTTAAGTTTCCTTCATCACAGTTCTCTCTCTCCTTCCTTCACACTCTTCCTCGCTCTGCCTTTTTTTTTTTCGTCACTTCTGTTCAAGTGCAGTGGAGCATGATGGTCTGTTTCAGGGGGTCCTGCTACCATGGTGATGTTTAGCCTGATACAGGTTGGGACTTCTGAGGCATTTTCTTTTATGTCTTTTTTTTTCTTTCCCCTCTCTCCAGTCCACTTCCAGGCTTAATGGGGGAGAATAAAAAACAGCCCCAGATCAGACAAAGTGAGCCAAAAAGAAGAAGGAAGGAGGGCTTTGGTAATGGCTGTGTGTGTAACTGTAAACTAAGGCAGGAAGAGTGGTCCAGTATTGAAGGCAAAGGGTCCTCGAGCAGTTGGCAGAACAGATGGGAGGGGAGTGTAATTGGGTGTGGGGTATATAGGGTGTCAAAATGAGAAGAAATGTAATCCTAGTTTTGTTTTCCTTCATATTATTGTAACTAAGGAGACACGTTTCATTCCAGCGTATGTGCCCATGCTTGTGTGACAGGTTCCCGTCGTTGTGTGTCCGCCTCTCGACGTGTTTTTGTTTTACGTTGAGGCGTGTGCGCGCGAGATGAGTGAAGTGAAAGTTTTACTGCACGCACACACCCTGTCAAACATCTTGTTTACCCTCACTAACTCTGTGGGCCGAGTCGAAATGAATGAGAGTCAACAAGCAGGGGCAGATTCTCCACATTAAGAACACTGAGGTCGAGTCAGAAGGGCCTGGGTGTTTGCTCTGCTGTGATTGTGCACACAGAGGGAGCAGTGGCCCAGCGCGGTGGTCATTTAGAACAGGGGGGGGGGGGTGTTATTTGAACTCTAATCTCAACAGGTGAAAGCCATTTATTTCTGCACACTTAGCTGTTGGGAAAAAAAGAAATAAATTAAAGCCCCTCTTTCCCTCTTCCTCATACAATAACTTTGAGAATTTCTTGATAAAATGAAAACTTTGTAAAGCTGCAGATGCAGAAATAACAAACTGGATGCTACAGCCGATTCCAGTCAACACAGATAAGTGTGCTGCAAAAAGCACGTAGTCCGATGAAAGAAAGGGCACCTGAGGTTTACGTTTTTTTATTTTATTTTATTTTTTTTACTCTGACTACGATAACATCTTTGGGGAATTTGCAGAACATCCAAATTCCTGTTATCAAACCTTGCTCCTGACTGAAGTGATGAAAAGCTCTTTCAATGTAGAACAGAAGTTTATTTTCCCACAACTTTTTGTTCGATGCTTCAGATGGATTCATCTGAAAAGTGGGAAAATATTTCCCTTCTTACATCCGCAGTAAAGTAAGAGCTTTTTACTTTGTGTCTTCGAGGCATTGCAGACTTAGTCACTGGAACTGTGCCTGCCTCTTTTCCAGCTACAGTCCAAATTCTTAATAGAATTAAGAAGGATTAATGGCTTCTTTAGCATGCTCAAGTTCAGGCTGCTTCCCTTGCCTCGCTGCTTTGCATATTTTTAAATCTCCTATGGTAATGACAGTCATAAAGAGCACTAACTGTAGCCATTAGGACKGCATGTGTGCACACTGTGTCTCAAAATGAGCCTGTGAAGTATGATTTTGCTGAAAGAAAACTGCTGTTTTTTCACTTCTTGTTCTTCCCTCTGCTCTTTGGGGATTAGGATGGGTGGACTCAATGGGTAAACTAAAAAAATCACAGCCAAAACAGAGCTACAAAGAGCTGACAGGTGATTAAAAGGGGAACTTAGCCACACATTTGCATKCAGTTCCTCAACAGAAAAAAATCACCTACTGCTTCCTTTATCGGCCCAGAACAGAGAGAACCAGCTGAGGTTTGGACACAGTCATTTATTCCAAACTTTTGGAAACAAACGGGTAAGTATGACCAAACTTTACTCTGGTGAAGATGTTCAAATGCTACGTTTCAGTGTTGTCTATCTATCAGCATCATTCTACATTTAAAGTCACTGTAATGACTTCTACTTGAGCAGAAACACACTAAACACGTGAGACAGTGGGAAGCTGTCATTCACCAATCCATAACTCCGTCTATATTTGGATCCACAGTTTGCAACTGCATCTGGGACACCATCCTGTTTACAAAAATGTTCCATGGATCGACATAAACACCTGTCAAAACCCCACAAACTTCCTCTGTGGGAGTTTCTGGTCCAGTTAGAGTCAACGGTCATTTTTCCCATCTGGCACAAACACAAAAGTAAGTAGGTGACAAAATCAGCCCCTCTAACACAGCTGACACTGAAAACTCAGAATAAAATATTTTCACAGCGGATACATTGTTAGCTTGGCGCTATTGTCTTTGGACRCAGAAGGATGTTGGGATGGGGTGGCACGAGAGCAAGTGTTATCTGATGAGACGTGACACAACAACGTGTTTATTTTAGTGTCGTGTTTAACGGTTTAGTTACCTGCCTTTTGTTTTACATGATGTTCTCAGCCAKCAAACTTGCTCTCTTTCTTCCCCCAAAGCATAAACCAAACCAGAAATAAACACAATGAAACATCCCTTCCAGGAACCATAAAACTGACAGGAAAAGCTGTGACTCATAATGGGAACAATTGTGTTGGACTTTGACACAAAGATCTCCAATAAAACGGTCGCTTTTATCAGGAACTAAACAAGAGATAATGGTAAAGATACAGAACCATTTTTTTTCCTGTTGTGCAGTCAAAATAATGAGAGATGTTTAATATAAACTGTTCAATARCTTCAAGCCCAAGACATAGTGGGGTGCAAATTATTTATGGAATGCAAAATACATGCTTATTTACACATGTGGACAAAATAACTTGAATCTGACAAAAGTAATGATAAAAATTCTACAAAAATGAACAAATGAAAGTCAGACATTACTTTTCAGCCATGCTTCAACAGAATTCTTTTTAAAATAAAACTCATAAAACAGGCCTGGACAGAAATGATGGTACCCTYAACCTAATATTGTGTTGCACAACCTTTTGAGGCAATCACTGCAATCAAACAATTCCTGTAACTGTCAATGAGACGTCTGCACCTCTCAGCAGGTATTTTGTTYCACTGCTCATAAGCAAACTRCTCCAGTTGTATCAGGCTTGAAAGTACCTTTTCCAGACGGCATGTTTCAGCTCCTTCCAAAGATGCTCAACAGGATTTAGGTCAGGATCATAGAAGGCCACTTCAGAATAGTCCAATGGTTTCCTCTTAGTCATTCTTRGGTGTTTTTAGCTGTGTTTTGGGTCATTGTCCTGTTGCAAGACCCAAGACCTGTGACTGAGACCAAGCTTTCTGACACTGGGCAGCACATTTCTCTCTAGAATCCTTGATAGTCTTGAGATTTCATTRTACCCTGCACAGAGTCAAGACCCCCTGTGCCAGATGCAGCAAAGCAGCCCCAGAACACAGCAGACCTCCTCTATGTTTCACAGTAGGGACAGTGTTCTTTTCTAGATATGCTTCATTTTTCCRTCTATGAACATWGAGCTGATGTGTCTTGCCAAAAAGTTYCATTTTTGTCTCMTCTGTCCAGAGGACATTCTCCCAGAGGCTTTGTGGCTTGTCAACATGCAGTTTGGAAAATTCCAGTYGGASTTTTTTATGATTTGGTGTCCTCCTTGGTCATCTCCCATTAAGTCTACTTTGGCTCAAACAASAACWGAWGGTGCGATCTGACACTGATATTCCTTGAGCTTGGGGTTCACCTTTAATCTCTTTAGAAGTTTTTCTGGGCTCTTTAGTTACCATTATCCGTCTCTTTGATTTGTCATCAATTTTCCTCCTGCAGCCATGTCCAGAGAGGTTGACTACAGTCCAATGGGTCTTAAATTTCTAAATAATATGTGCAACTGTAGTCATGGGAATATCAAGCTGCTTGGAGATGGTCTTATAACCTTTACCTTTAACATGCTTGTCAATAATTTTCTTTCTAATCTCCTGAAACAACTCTTTCCTTCTCTTCCTCTGGTCCATGTTGAGTGTGGTCCACACCATGTCACCAAACAGCAGAGTGAGTATCTGTAGCTTTGTATACAAGCCCACTGACTGATTACAAGATTGTAGACACCACTGATGCTAATTAGTGGACACACCTTGATTTAACACGACACTTTGGTCACATTATTTTCAGTGGTGCCATCATTTCCGTCCAGGCCTGTTTTGTGAATTTTA